GGATACTTAGTGGTTGGTCACTAAAATCAGCTTCCAGTCGGGCGAGGACAACATCTACTGTAAAATTTAGCAACGCCGGAATAATGTATTCAACATCTCCTCTCCTAGGATGGCAGGGGCAGGCTGTTCCGCATCGTTTGCTGAAGAGGAACACGAAGTTGAGTAGATGTCGCTGTTGTGCAGTGGTTCTAGGTTTAGAATATAACTTGAAAAAATCCCGTTTGGGGACGGTCTTGATGCAGAATACCCAGCGCCGGGACGACGTCTCTGCCAAGATCCAGAAATGCCTGGCAACACGTTTTCTCAGTGCCAAGGACGGTGAACGACTGCGGGGAAGGTTGCAGTTCCTTGATGGCCAACTCTTTGGCAAGTTGGCTCAGTGTGCCTACAAGTCCCTATCCAGACATGTTGCTCTGGGTGGGGGCCGGCTTTTTGATCACGTGTGCTCACAACTCTTTGTCACTGCTAGCCATGCAGGCCGCGCCGTGGCCGGTCATCTTGAGGAAACCTTGCTGGTGTTTTTCGACGCCAGTCATGAGCCCGGGAACCAGCTGCCTGCTGGGTTCGGAGACATCCTGTTTGGTAGCAATGGCCGTGAGCTGAGCTATTTTTCCGAGCTCATTGACCAGGATTCCTTGGATCGCATAAACAAGGATGCCAGCGTCAACCCAATTTTCGAATTGGAGTGTTTCGCAATACTAATGGCATTAAAACCTTGGCACACCCGTCTGTGCGGATGCCATGCCATCATTTTTTCAGATAATAATGGCGCGCTAGGTTCGATGTTGAAGGGCCATGCCGAGAACACTGTTGGGAGCACCATAGTTCACGATTGCGCAGCATGGTTTGAACGAGTCAGCTCGGCAAGCAACTGTTCAGATGCTCCCTCAAGGGGAGACATCAGTGGCAGGCAAGGAGTCCGGTTTTCCTGCTTCGGTGGCCATCTTTGAAATTGCGGTGGGGTGACTTTCCCTCACATGCTGATCAGGTGGCAGGGGGTGAGTGAGATCACCATGTGTGATGATGTCGCCGGCCTACATGGCGGACATGAAGCCTTTGAGGTATTCTTAATACTCATGTGAACACCCCAATGCCCCCTAGGACCAAAAAAATTGAGAGCGTGTTGCATCCAAGCTGATTGTCTTTATAGATGTTTGAAGAACTATTTATTTAGTGAAATATGAACGATAGAGGTTGTCTCAAGATACGATTCGAACATGTCTTAGTTTGGGAGCACAGTGAAGGTTTATTCCTGCTCTCCGAGTGACTGCAAGCTGATGCTCGTACGCGCCTAGCATCCGCCGCTATCACATTGGCGAATGAGACGGCAGATGTTGCCACGTCCTTTTGGACAGTAGTTTCTTGCCCTGGGCAAGATGTCTTCCTGTGATCCGTCATGGCATTGCGCATTGCTTGGCTTTTTCACCTTGCAGAAAGGCGTGTGCCTGCAGCAGCTTGCGTTGGATTTACCTTTTGTGAGTATTTCATATTTGAAATACATTGGATATGTAATCTTGACTTTGCGATGAGTTTGCATAGCGATTTGTATGAAGCATGCGTGGCTGTGGATTGGTGTAGAATTCACAGTACATAGCTGAAGTTGCCAATTTTGATGTGTATTTTTTGATGTTGAAAACGTAATCAATATAATCATAGTTCTTGAGAGCTCAGAGCACTGATGCTTGTGTCGAATTGGCTCGAATGGTTAGTTTGTGATTGCATGCTGAGAGTGCTTCTCGCATGCAAGCATGGGTGGCTGGGGCAAAGGCAAGGGCGGCAAGGGCAAAAACGCAAACAACAAAGGTGGAAAGGGCGGCTTGCTTTCAACGACATCATGTTGCTACGTGGACTGGTTTTTGATTAGTGCCAGCATTCCGTGTTGCCAAGGTAAAAGCTTTGCAAGCCAAGGGGGAGGAGGTGGGGGCAACTTTTGGTGTATACGCTCGAAGCAAAACAGGTCCTTGTTTACGAGTGCGTATACCAGCAACATTCACGTTTGCAATATACTTGTTCGGACACTCCCCGAAGCTATTTCAGTCATTCAGCTCGAGGCTCCGCTTCGGCATCCGCGACGCCTTGGCTGCGCTCTCCCAGCAAGGGTACTAACCTCGATGACAGCCGGCGCTTTGTGCAGAAGCTTTACCAAGCCAGAAGTGTCATGTCCGCAATTTCGGCTGATGTCAGGGCCATGGCCATCGCATGTTTTCAGCGCCTTACCGCCAGGTGAGCACCTGGAACCTCAAATTTCCCAATCAAAAGACCAATGGGCACAATGTTGGAATGCTGCATCTTCGGACTTGCAAATGGAGGAGAAGTGCGTTTTTCTTGAAGTACTGTTGCAACTTGACACAGTCATGGTCCACCGATTAGATTTTTCAAGTCCAGGCTGTAAGAAGCTTGGTGACGGTGCTTTGCAAGATTCCGCCGTCGGCCTCGCCTCCGCCACCTCCAGCCGCTGCGTGACCATCAGCTTTATTCAGACACACTTGCTCTTGTAGCCGAGTTGCTTTTGGGATAAGTAGCATGCCATAGAAGTGCGTATGAGGCCAACAGACCATAAAGCGATACCTTGAAGCGGAGAAGCAAGGCGACTGTGTGACAGGATAAGGCATGCAGCAGGAATCAAAAAGACTCTCAGTCATGTTTTTTGGATGCCTCGCCCGTTCCTCGTACTGGGTGGCACTTGTGCCCATGCAATAGGAAGTGTGAGTTCAAGATGCAAGGTACGCCAGATCAGGCTGTGAAGGCAGTGGAGGCTTGCAGTCAGCACATACACACGTTTCGATGAAACCTGGTGAGTTCAAGGTGGTGATTAACGCGGTGCACAAATTGCTCAAGCTGGAGTGGGACGTATCTGCTGACGAGGCGTGTTTTCTTCTCCTGCCGGTCTCACTTAGTGCAGATACCTATGAAGGCTACGTGTTGTGGTGGAGAGAGTGCTATCCAGTGGCAATTGGTTGCAGTCTGTTGCTGAGCCGAGTTACAGAAGCGTACTGTCTGGTTTCAAAGACTTGCAAGTTTTAGGATGAGCAATTCCATAGCCATAGCTAAGCAGGATCTCGTCAAAGTTCAAAGTGCTTGCTCACTGGCATGGAATATGAAGATGCTCACTATTCTTTGAAGAGGTGCAGGACTGCTTGCAGAGCATCCTGGAAGAAGCCCTCGCCTCAGCAGTTGGCATTCTTCGTATCGTCGTGCACGTCTGCTTACTTGATTGATGCTGTCGTCGCAAATGGTCTTCGGGTCCAATTCCATGCTTCTATGTGCACTTGCCGAACGAACCTTGATGCCAGGCAGATGCCTGCTTGCAGATTCGGCACAAGGATGGTCAATCAGCATAGTTTGCACGGCAAAATTAGTGAGTACCTGTGTTCAAGTGTAGCAAGCATGGCAGGACCACAAGGAAGCGAGAAAGAGGACCGCAATAGTACTCTTGCAGCCTCACTTATGCGCAACAAAAGGCGTTTACTAAGTGTCAGTTGCTCTGCACGTATCCTACAAGGAGTGGCCCTTGCTGCTCCTCGCCTCGGTTTTCATGACAGCCTGTGTAACAGGATCATGGACGTCATGGACGATCTAGAGAAGCCTTGGCTGATCAAGCTCAAGCCTGTGGCGGGGAATGCAGCACCTGTTACAGAGGAGAAGCAGCTATAGCTTGGGATATTGGAGTGTGTGCGCAGCATGCAGTCAAGGTTTTCTGAGACGTGTGTGTTGTACGTTAGGACTTGTCCACGTATCCTGGCAAGGAGAGGGATGGTCAGGGTGGGGAAGAGATCCCTAGCAGTTGGCGTCGAGCCACTGTGGGATGGCTTACCCGGGCGGAGCTCTTCTGCCCTGCAACTTTACCAAAGATGCAGACCGCGAAGTCCAAGCAGCGCGGCGTGTATGTCCGGGACTCTGCTTGAGCGACTGCCTTGTGCAACAGGCCATGTGGACGCAATGCCTGAACTCAGGCCACGCCTGAGGAGTACTTGGACACAATTGAGAAGCTCATGGTTGGCATGACGTTCAGTGATGGGAACGCTGCGATCTCTCCGCGCTGCTGGCAAAAGGTTCGGGCCCTTTGCATGGAGTTGCTTGTGTCAGCGCAGCTTGCCCATTTACCGACGTATCCGCGCAGAGGAGTGTGGCTGCACGCTATGGCCTATTGCGCAACCCATGGGTCTGCACTGTCGGACACGTGACCTGTTTGCACTGACTATGTCTACTATGACTATGTTTTCACTGCGCAGCACGGTGAGCATGTCAGTACTGCGAGTGATACAGCATGTCCAGTCTTGCTAAACATGCCTGGTTCGTGCAGGATGTCCGTATTGATGAGACCATTTGCTGTCTCCATGTCTGTTGAGGCCATGACATGTTGAAATCAGGTGGATGTCCCCGTCCTGTTGTTCTGGCATGCAGCAATGAGAGACACAGCTGCGGCTTATGCAAGAAATGCGCCGGCGAGACAATCCAGCAGCTTCTTGGTCGGAGAGGTGGGCAAGACCAAGCCTGTCAGTTCACACAGCTACGTCCTTGCCCTGATTAGGTCCCAAAGCCTCCACACACGTTTATGACTGCATCCTGACGCATGTCGGGTTCGATGGAAGGCCGGATCGAAGTCTCGCATGGGGCATGATGTTGTGGAAGGCTGTACCCTGATTTCCAGCATGGGTTTCTCATCGCCGCTGATGAGTTGTTGCAAGCCCATGCCACGGCATAGTGATTGTTGGGTATGTCGTGAAAGGCGAAACGCTCACATTTAGATTACATGCGCAAGCGTTCTCGTGTGCTTCCCTCTCAGTCTTGTTTTGAGCAAATCTGGCCGAAATGCAATGTTGTAGGGAGTAGTGCAATATGCTGTCAAGAAGGATAGTGCTCTGGGGTTCAGGTGTATACACTGAAGTCAGACCGTTACAAGCAAGAATGTTGAAGACAAACTTTATCTGGATGATGCCCTGGCTGTGGATGCCGGCAGGCTCTACTTTCAGAATCTGGAGTCTCGCAACCCTCCGCAGATGCAGATCCATTGGCGGACAACGCGACGTTTGCAGAGCCCCAATCTCATTGCCTTGGTCAAGCTGACTGAGGGAGGCCTCGGAGCACGTGCTTGATATTGCTATTGTGCACGTGTAATATGTTGCTGTGCAGGTGCGGCCCTGAAGGCATCTGATCCTATTTGGTGGGGTGAGGTCTCCCACCATCCGCATCATGGTGGCAAACCTCCGGATGAAGCTCGCTACCGGCAGAACGGCTATCTTGCCGTAAACGTGTCGTCCATTGCTGGGTTCGAGGCAGCTGATGCTTTCACAGAGGGGGACTACGCTGCCATCATTGACTGCATGACCTTTGTCCCTGAATACATTCCAGTCCTCAAAGCTCTTGAGACGCAAAGGCAGAGCAGAATCCCTTTTGAGGCCCGTGTGACTGCTTTGCTAGGAAAGCATGTTGACTGGTGTTTCTGGGAGTTGTCTCCAGGATGGCGCGCTGCTGAATCTGTGCTCATGGCACAGACCAGATCCTAGCTGTATGTTGGATGCTGATGCAGATCTCGCCAACTACCGCTTGCTGGTGGCATCCATGGTGGAAGATAGCAGCCTGCCTCCAATCATGGCCATCCGCCGTGATCCAGTGCTCTCAGAGAAGCCCCTTGGTCGCATACTTTTCAGCTTTGAGTGGTTCCTTGGGGAGCAGATGTGCTGGGCTCGTGCGGAAGGATGTGCAACGACTTGATTGCGCTGTTGAAGGAGGCTACTCTGGATGAGGGACAGTTGAGAAGCTTCATCGATGGCTTGAAAAGCCCCGTGCATCTTACACAAGGCCCGCCTGGCACAGGGAAATCCTACCTGGGCGTAGTGATGGTGCGGGCCCTGATTATCATTCGCCGGTTTTGGGTCAAGGTGGACGAGTCTGTTGGCACTCCGCCGATATTGGTCTTGAGCTACAAGAACCATGCTATAGATGAGTTTCTTCTTGATCTCATCAAGGCAGAATGGCGGCTGAGCCAGGGTGGGCTCATCCGCATTGGGGGCGGCGCTTCCTTGGACCAGCGATTAGCAGCCTTTTCAGAGAGGACCCTGGGACGCCAGGATCATGAGGCACCAGATGCATTGATGTTGTATGGTCTTGCAACCGCACATCTCATGTTTTTGAGTTCTGATCTCATGTGAAGCCTGGAAGGTGATGAAGGTTAAGACAACCGTGCAGTGGCTGCATGACTTGGCTTCAGCTTGCAAGACCCTTTGCAGCCGCTCCCAGATCTTTGGTGGGTTTCAGGCACCGCGACTTGTGAAGCCAAACGCACTTTTCTGTCTGCTGCTTCAATCTCAAAGGCTGAGCCCCAAAACAGGCAGATATGTTTGCGCCGCATGCTGAAGAAAACAAGACTGTGGCGCAGCGGAAGCGCTGCTTGGCAAAGGGCAGGTTAGAAACATTGAGGCTTTTGGGATTTTGGTTTCTCATGACGTGTTGGAACTCGCGTGCAGCACGAAACATGGCCAAGCCTGACGTCGTCGTTATCACAGCTCCCATTGCTAAGGCAACAAATCTGCTTATGACGCGACAGAAATGCTGCTGGTTGAGCACTCGGTCTTCAAGTGCCAGTCTTAGCTGCCGCCTACTGTCAAGACGCATGTGCTGGCACTGGAGGCCTCTGTGGTCCGGATCAATCGCCTCAGAAATATCAAGGTTCGTGAAGATGAAGGCCGCTATGGCGACAGCGCCCTTGCTTCTGCTCTCTTAAATGACGTGGACTTCATCCGAGAAGAAGTTCACGAGCCACAAAACCGCCGGACCCAGACATCTCTGAGCCGTTCGCAGATTTTTGCTGACATCCACCAGCTTCAGTCCGGCATTGCCCACTATGTTGAGCTGGGGCACGAGCAGCTCCAGGATCCAGGTTCTGGGTTCAAGTTTGAAAGATGCTATGCTGCGGTGCATTGTTGTGCTTGACGTCAGAAAGCGCATTTGCGCTGCGCATGAAGCACACTGATACGTGGATTTACGTCGCTGGCTTCCGTCCATCAACTTACCTGATTACTTTGTTGGTTCCATCATTATCGTCGTCGTCGTCTTCGTCGTTTTGCTCGTCGTCATCGTTACGAGCCAAGCGGTGGGGATTCGGGTGCTGTCTCCTGCTCGTTTGGGATAAAGGTTCAGTCTCAGGTGCAACGTAGGGAGTGAAGGTCCTGTCTTCTGCACCATGTGTTGGGGATAGGGTCCAGTCCCGGTGCCAGACATTGAGATTGGCTTGAAGCTCAACAATTAGCTTTGGGGGAAATATGGTTGTCGTCACTGCCGTTGTCTTAGGGGCCCTAAAGGACCTTCAGGGAACCGGATTCTGCACCCCACTGCCACGTCAGGCCCAGGTCTGCGGAACGGATTTGGAAATACTGTACAAGAAGGTACACTTGCACCGCGCCCTGAATGTCTTCGGGAGACCCTCGGGGAGGGCTCCTGCCCCCTTCTTTGTTGTTCGTAAAAATGTCGCGTTGTTACGCTTTGAATTGGCAAATATGAGTTTTAGCTGCCCTGCAGCCTGAATTGGCCCGCCTGTCTCAGTCTTGCCTTGCACGATCTCCGAAAGCTATAACACTTCTGTTGGCATTTTGTCGACGCTTGCATCTTCCTCATCTGTAACTGTAGCATTGTGTCTTCATGTTGGTTTCGCGGAGGAGGAGCAGGAGCAGGAACAGGAGCAGGAGAAGGAGCAGCAGCAGCAGGAGGAGCAGGGGAAGGAGCAGGCTTCGTTCTACGGGCGTGGTGATTTGGGTAGCATGCCGGTCCAACTGTGGTGCTGGAAGGTGAAGTCTTGTACATGTTTCTTCGTGGAGACCGTCCACTGCCCATGTGCAAGTATCGTTTTGCCCTATGCGACAACCTGGCAGTGTCCCTTGAGTCAGATTTTTGCGCAACGTGGCGGCACCTAGGCAGTTAGGCTCGTGTTGACTTCGGTGCTCAAGTAGCTGATTGCTTTCGACTAGAGGCCGAGCATAGCTGCTCCATGAAGGATGATGGACGGCCCTGTCGCAACCCAGTCCTCCCGAATCGAAAGGCTTGCGCTGACCACGCGTGTCATTTTGGGAACTGTGAGAGGACTGCTGGAGAACTCTTGACTGGAGTGCAGCGTGTGCCATGCGTTGCTGTGCTATGCCATGCTGGAGAGATGCTTCGCCCCTTCCCTGTGAGGAGAAAGCTTCCAGCACCACAAGTCTTCTGCCCAGATCACGCCTGCAAGCAGTGCATTGTCTTGGGCAGGGTATCCCCTCTTGCTGAGGATGACCCACCCCGAAATGTCTGTAGCGAACATGCGCTATGCTACCAGTGTGATGAGTTCGCCATACCGGGGAAAGATGTTTGTGCAAAGCATGACGTGAAGCAATGCCAGTACACATCTTGGTGGGGCGGGTGGGGCTGCTACAATGCGGCAATATATGGCCACTCTTACTGTGCTGATCACTTGCGGTACTTCAGCTACTACGACGGTGGAACGCAGTCGGTGGAAGCGCGTGATCAACAGTCTGATGGAGCCAGCCTTACCACTAAGTTGAACAGTACATGTGAACTGGCATCATTGTTCTGCAAGTAGGCTCATCCTGTCTGGCGATAGTTGCAGTGTAGCTGAGGAGAAGAAGAGAAGGCCAACCAGCAAGCGACATCTGTGTACTGTGCCGGCCTGAACCGGAAAGGCAAGAAATGCCAGTCCATGGCATTGCCAGGTTCACAGTTTTGTCATGCCCATGCCCCGGCAGAGCCGCAAGCTCGGCCAGTCCTCGCAGACATCTCCGTGGATGAGGCCCAGGTCAGCACATGCCGAAACGTAAAATTCGACAGGGATACCATTGTTCAGCTCAACACTCCACAGGCAGAGAAGGAATCGAAGCCCGAAGAGGTGCCGGAGCCGGAGGGGCAGACCACGAATCAAACAGACAACGGCATCCTTGAGGAGGCAGGGTTTCTCAACAAAACAAGGAGGAACTGCATATAGCATCAAGCTACCTTTAGCTATGAGGAAGATGACTTCGCATCCGCCACTGCGATTTCAGATGACGATGCTCCTCACGAGCCAGAAGCGGGCAGGTGCCTGTGTCAAGTTTGGAGTCACAGTTTTTAGCTTCTCGTACATGTGAATAAAACTGAGGCTTTAAACCTTTTGAAGGTTTTGAAGAGCATGTCAGGTATGATAATCAGGATGAGGTTGAGGAGGCTGACAACCTTCAGCACCTCAGAGAAGTCTACGATTTCGATGGCTTCAGCGAGGATGAGTCCAGCTTAGAGGAGGGTCCGCCAGAAGCTGCTGAAGCTCACGCCCAATCCCCCATAGAGGATCCTAACTTGCCTCACCTTTTGGATTCGAAGGAGTGGACTTGGGATTTGAGCCTTGAAGAGCGCTGGGAAGCATGTGAGAGGCTGATGACAAGACAAAGGGACTTGCTCCTGGAGCTGCTTGATAAGATCAAGCAGGAGATCTACTACAAAAGGAGGAAGCTGCACGAGGCAGAAGTCCGTGCCAGTGCAAGGGTTTATGAGAACAAGAGCGTGATCGGTGGCACCATCGTCGGATGTATCTCACGGTTAGAAGCCATTCGGTCCACCAACCCCTTTGCCATTGTTGTCGAGGAAGCCTCAGAAGTGCTGGAGCCGCTTCTCTTTTCCTGCTTTTGTCAGAGCACGCTGAAGCTGGAAATGATTGGTGATCATCTCCAGTTACAGCCATCCATCATGCAGAAGTTCTTGTTCGAGAGGGTGAACAGCGTCAACATTTCCATGTTCGAACGTCTCATCAAAGCACCGGACGAACACAGCATTCCTTCAGCAGTTCTGAAGATCCAGAGGCGCATGAGGTCTCATATTTGCGATCTGACTCGCGAGTATTATGAGCACATTGTGAGCATTGAGGATCACGAAGTCTGCTCGACAAAAACGATTCCCGGGTTGGCCAAGCAGAGTGCTTTCAAGGGCAGGGAGGTTCCAGGCCTTCAATCCCACATCTTCTTGTGGACCCATTCGGGAAGCCAGGGAAGGGCAGATGTTGGTCTGTCAAAGGTCAATCGTCAAGAAGCTGACATGGCAATTTGGTTGGCATACTACTTGGTTCAGTGTGGCGTGCCCAAGACCTCGATCGTCATCCTGACGCCCTACAAGGGGCAACTCATGCTTATTCGCAAGAAATTGCTTGAGGAACAGTCAGCCGAAAAGTTCCTTAGCTCATTCATCCCCAGAGCTCTCGCTTGCAGAGTACCCTGACCCAAGCTCTGTTCAGGTTACTTTCACGCGATTGGGATGAAAGCAGCCAAATCAGGCTTTCGACCGTGGATCGCTTCCAGGGTGACGAAGCAGACATTGTCATCGCAAGTCTCGTTGTTGACGAGAATTCTCGCACACCCTTCGTCAAGCTCGTGAATCGGATGATTGTGCTTCTCTCACGCGCTAGAATTGGCATGTATATCCTGGGAAACACAGGCTATTTTGAGAACTCCCGTCAGGACATCAAGCATTGGCACAGAACATTCGCTTTGTTGCAGGAGCCTGCAAACAGCTGTGATAGTGCCGACAGGCGCTTGGCAGAGACCTTTGAAAAGTCGCGGGTGGGATCCAAGCTGCCACTTTGCTGTCCCCAACACACACAGTCGAAATTTGATGCTGCTCGGGCCACAGAGGTGCAACTTGGCTTCTGTGAAGTCCTGTGTCAAGTGCCACTGCCATGCAGCCACCCCTGCGGTCTGAAGTGCCACTGGCCTCTGCAGAAGCACAACAAGCAATGCCGAGCGATGGTGGCATCTCCTTGTGCACGTCATGAAGCGGACATCACCTGTCAAAGTGTTTTTGCCAACAGCAACCAGCCTGCATTTATAATCAAGGTTTTCGAGCAAGTTTAGCGCGCAGTGGGCCGCGCAGTTTCATAGTGGCGTGTTGGCACGCTTTGCATTCATCATGCAAAGGGGAATCAGAGCAGGATCTCCCAGTTCGAAGTCCGGCAGCTGCTTTAGGCAAGTATACGCGTAGTTTGTGAGCTGAGGTCAGGCCACCAAGCACGACACGATCGACGAAGCATTGCGGACTTATCGCTGCCCGATCAAGGTGCAGGTTATGCTTCCCTGCACGCACGAGAAGGAGATGGCATGCCAAGATGAGGAGGATATCCAGAGTGGACAGATGAGCTGGCCTCGTTGCGAAGAGATGTCCCACACCCCGATGCTAAACTGCAACAGAACCTGCGAGGCTGGCGCCCGATCTTGAATGGTGCTCAGGTACATTTACCCAGATTGCAGGCACACGATGGATGTTAAATGCTATATGCTCGCCGAATACAACAGTGGACGGAGCCAGGCAGCGTGTTTCCTGAAATGCGTCAAGCCAGTAATCGTCTCAACGCTGCATGCTGAATGCTCATTCAACAGAACGTACATCATTGGTCACTTTGGCAGGTTCCCAAGTGTGAACAAAAGGTGGACTATGTGCCAACCTGCGGACATGCGACCACGGTGAAGTGCTGGCTGAAGCAAGCCTATGAGCGTGACAGTGCCGCGCAATTCGTTTGCCCTCTGAAGCAAGATGTCAAGCTGCCACGATGCAGCCATGCGGCTAAGGCCGGCCCACTGGCTCTGTTGGTCATACTCAGAGCCTTCCTGGTCCGCTCTGCAGGTGTCATGTGCAGAGAACATCCAGCTGCAAACCTGGCAGGGAGGTGGGTTTCAGCTTGAGCTTTGTTATCACAATTTAAGAAGTTCTTAGTTCTTAATTATCTGTCAGGGCGATGCGCAGAGCAGGACATTGTGCGGGAAGGTGTGCCTTATGGGCCACTAGACACCAGGCGGAAATGGACAGGAAGCCCGTTCATGCTCATCTGCTTTTCATGACAGCTGAGGACAGGGTCTGCCGCGAAAAAGTGACCTTTGTACGCACCTTCTTGATGATTCAGAATTAAACGTCAAGTTTGGTTGAATGCCTGGTTGGAAAGTGATTGAAAGTCTGATTGTCGACACTTTGATGTAGCTACACGTAACCGTTTGAGCTGCTTATCAGCCAAGGGAAGTGTGGTCACGAAGAGCGGGTGGAATGTGGCAGGGCCTTCGACCTGGCCAAGATCGATTCTCACTGCTTGGAGAAGGCTGGCTCCAGCAGGTCTTGTATACGGCTTCCGGGAAGAGTTCTCTCAGCCTGATGACACCTGAGAGGTATCAATTAATCACCCCGAGTGTGGCCACAGTGTTGGCGTTTACTGCTACCGCGCACGCCAACTGGACCCTCTCACTGCAATTTGTAGAAATAGTCCCGTCATGATGCAAGATGCAAGCTATTGCAAGGTTGCCTGCAAAGCTTCTCAGGAGAGCCTTGCGCGCCCTGATGTGCCCCTTGACGAGTTGAAAGAAGGTTACATCTTGCCGGTCCCACCGAACTTGGCCGACATCAAATGCACGGCCAAGGAGCCTTGCTACCATCTGTGCACAACTTTTTCTGCAGAAAGTTCTAGCTTCTGTGGGCTGCCTTTTGATGCGTGCCATCCTGCCACCAGGTGGTGATCACCAGAAGCTGCGGTCATACACATCAGATCGAGTGCAACCTGAAATCTTCGGCCTTGCCGCCATGCAAAGACCTCATCACCATGCAAAGCCCTTTGTGCGGACATGAGATCCAGAAGCTCAGCTGACTTGCTTGTCACCACGGCAATGCTAAGCCCTCCCACCCGCAAAATCTTTCTTGTTTACATACAACCCTTCTAGTAGTTCTCTTGATTGAGGATTCCCTGCTATGCGCGGGTAGCGCTTGCAAACTGGCAGCCCTGGGATTTGCAGGCAGGTTTCGTGCTCATGATTTTGTTTTTGGTTGTGTGGAGGTTGTGCTTGATTTCCTCAGTTCACAGCTTCACTCAGCTCGTGTCTTGCTACTGCTGCACCAATGACTATGCCTATGATGCTGGCCACCTATCCCAAGAAAGTCGTTGCAATGCTCAGCAGCTTCTGCGTTCACCATGCTACTTTAGGGCGGTGTGCTAAGGGACAAAGAGTCGTCCTCAGTATTCTGCATCTCTTGGATTGTCGTTGCTCATTCCTGCTCCTCGTCACCTTGGCCTCATTTTTGATCAGGCCATGCAGTCCTTGCAGACCAAGAAGATCCTGCCGGCAAGTGCAAAGCCGAATCAGGTGTACTTAGACGAGCAGCTCATGGCGGCAGTCAAATGCTGTAAGCAGACTGTCCAGGCCAGCAATGACATCAACCCTCTCTGAACATCAGGAACGTCAGTCCCACCATGGGAAAATATTTCTTGCTCAAGCTGCTTCCTGCAGTAGCTGTGGTCATCGAAATATGCGTGCGCAATGTAAGGAGTATCAATTTTCAAGTAAAGGAGGCTTGCTGGCTGCCAGCTCTTGTTGTTGCCTGAAGGTGGAGAGGCTTTGTGGGCACTCCACGGACTACAACTGCAAGCAGCTTGTGCAGCTCCTGAAGCAGCAAGAAATGAGAGGAAAATGCGCGAAGATGGTGGAGAAGCCCTTGCGATGTGGACATATGGCCGTGGCGCCATGCCGGAAGTTCCAGGATTACCAGGATGGCAAAGCGGCCATCCCGTGCAAGGAGAAGCGGGAGACCGAGTGCTGGAACGTTGCAGTGTGCAAGTCCAGGCGGCTGATGGTTGACTGTGCGGAAACTCGACAAGTGTGCTGCGACAAAGCAGTAACCTGGACTTGCCAGAAGTCGGCGCATAGCTTCAGCTTGAAGGTCTGCAAGGAAGGTGAACCATCTGAATGCCCTTCGTGCAGCGATGACAGCCTGTCAGCTGCAATGGAAGAGACAAGAAGGTGCATGGAGGAGGACTCAACCAAACCTTTGGCCGACCTTTCCATCTACACCTCTTTGCAGAGGATTGCCGAGGACAGGTCTTGGTGTCTCGCACCCGAGTTGTTCTGCGTAAAGCAGGCTGTCTTTGAAAGGTCAAGTCTTTGACGTCTTAGCCACGCAGTAGGGGCATTCATAGTAACAAGTCACATCCATCACATCTACGGCGTTCAGGACATGTCCCAGATCGAGCTATCACGAGATGTGGCAAGCCGCTTCCTTGCCTCAAAGCAGATGCTGCTGCAGAGGTTCAAGGATCTGTCTGCGGGAGCCTCAGTTTCCCGGCATGGTGGTTATACCAACTTTTCATAATGCCTGATGGCGTGCATAGTCAGGAACCAATATCCAGCAAGCGTCTAGCAAAGAGCCGGCATTCTGTTCTCCGCAGTCGCATCCATATTAATTCAATGCGGCTGATCAGCCCTCTCCGCACTCAGGAGCTCGCACCAGTCTGGCAAAGGGCAATTTTTCATGAAAGGGTGATCCCCATCTTCCATGTGCTGGAGGGCGGTGCCATGAAAGATGCGCATAAAGGACGGGCAATGCGCTTCATGTACTTTGCTGTCACGCTTCTTTCTCATAGTGCTTGCGAGCTCTATTTCTACTGTGAAAGCTTAGGCTTGATGGAGCCAAATTGCCTTGTTTTTGTCAGGATTCTCCGTACTTGGAAAATTCCGTAAGGCCGCTACGCTTGATGGAATTCAGGCCGATCAAACCCAAGGGGTTTCTGGGTCTAGGAAACAGGTTCTATGCAGCTGTGCTTAGCCATCATTGCCACTGCTGCAGCATACGCACGCAGTGTCCTGCATTGGGCCGTGAAGTGGCCAGGTTCATCGCTTCACCTATGCCAACATTCAGAGCTTGGCCAGGGAGAGGGTGAAGGAAGGAAGTGCTCATCTACTTCTTGGCTTTGTCTACTCCCTGAGCACATGTTCCGGCAAGTGGCCCAACAAGAAGAACAAACAGGCTGTTATGGCTTTCCATAGATGTGCTTCTGTACCTCTCCTTTGCATTCCAGGAGTTGCTCTAAAGGCAAAGTTGCAAGCCCCCTGAAGGTGCCAAACAACTGGCGGCAGCAAGGCTTTGACAGCTTTGAGGCTGACGACCTGCCTGGGCCGAAGCGTTTCGTCGTCTGGGATCCCTTCGCGCTTTTTGCGACGCACCATGTCAAGGTCGGCCCTTTCATGCGTTCTGCGCTTTACCATGCTGACTGAACTAGTCCACCACAGGTGAACAAGGCCACGCTGGTCCAGGCAGCTGTTCTACTGGAAACAACTACACTTGTGAGAGGGTCTGACGTGACAAATACCTGGCCTGCAGGTCGCCCATCTCCTGCAGGGGCAGAGTGCAATGGACTTGCAGCCACCAAGGCAAAATACTGCATTCTGCAAGCTTCTTTGCATGCCTGTGTTTCTGCAGGGAAATCAAGCGGGACATGACTCTTGGGCATGAGGCGCATCACCTTCACCAAGCCGGACGGCAAATTCGTCACTGGAACCTGTTCAGCCGGCAGCTAAGCAACCTGGTGCTGGCAACAGGACCTGACGCAGCAGATAGCAGATGGTAGTATGGTAGGATGATGCCATGCAAAGATCGGGTGCCTGCCTGGGTTGACTTATGGCTCTTGCTGACAGAACGCTTGTCACATGTATCTCATGTGTATCATGTAGTTGCACTTTGAACACTACATATGACTACATGGACGGCTGGCCCAGTTGAATGATCGATGCAACAGACAAGGTCAGTGAGAGTGAAGCTATGAAGCACCAGGATGATGCAACTTTCTGTGTGATTGAGGCTTGTCTGCTTGCTTAGAAGCCTGCACTGTTTCCAAACTTTCTAGAGCAAGGCATTTGCCCCCCTCAATCAATTCCAGCAATTTCGTCGCAGGCATTGCGGGACAGCCCTGCCGAGGGCTTCTCCTTTCCCAAGTCTTGGGATGGCAAATCTCTGGCCACAGGCTGCAATAATCGCTAAGTCTTCAGCATGATTGACACAACTTTGCACATGGTCGAGCGTGTATGTGTGTCAGCTGCTTAAGTACATGCAGACGCTTTTGGAGCTTCGTGAGCATTTGCACTTGGGAGAGTGAGCGTAGTTGCAAGTTGTCCCGCCATTTGGCAGGCGGGGAACTGACGGAGGGGCAGGAGAAAGAGCTTGACAAGAAGCTTTCCTTCTTGAATGATGCTGCAGTCCCCTTTGCCGGAAAGAATGTCTTGGAAAAGCTCATCAGAGAGAAAGACGGCATGCTCCCGCTCCTTGACCTGCTCATGGCCCTGGAGGCCTTGTGTCATCATAGCTGCGGAAACGTGAAACATGTTTCAAGGGCTGGGTCCTGATGTAAGCAGCAGGTATGCACCGTGGACAACGATGTGGCCAAGAGCCATTTGGACCGGTACCTGATCTCCCTGCGCAAATCAGCCAGGTGGCCTTCCCGAAGTAACCTATCCATCAGACTCTAAGTTGTGAGACATATTCTAGCAATCCAGCAACTCTCGCGCAGGCAAGTTGCCCACCCTTTGCTGCTGCTTGCCCTACACCGCCTGGAGGCACAGGGTTTTGATTTTGGATGATTACACGGAGGCACGCGTTACAGACACGATCCTTAACTCCAGCGAAAATATGTGTGATGGCTACGTACTCCTCTCAGTCCAGGTAGCTCGGGCGGGCACTTGCCTGGAATGAAGCCAGTTGAGTTTGATTGTAAGAGACCCTGCAGGGGCTGCTGGTCCTGCAAGCCGCCATCCATCATTTTCCTGAGATGCAAGCGTTGCTCACGAGTGCGGAGCAGGCAGCAGGATTGGAGTTTATGTTCAGAAGCTCTGCGTTCAGAGTTTGTTTGCATGTGTCTTTTGACTTTCCAGGCTCAGGGTGTAGGTAGGTATGTGACGTGTGGCGTGTGCGGAGGGGCCATCCGCAAAGGCAATACTGGTGAACCCGCAAGTCACAAAGCTGACTCCACACCTTGTGCAGCCAAAATTTGAAAACCATCACGAGTCCCTATACCGCCAGTGGATGGAGGAAACATTGTGCCACGCAGGAGCACGCTCTTAGTTTGAGAGTTTAGGGTGTATGCGGGATTTCCTCCATCCTCAGTAGCCGCCTTTGAAACTTGGAGCCGTGGTGGATGCAAGAACCTGCTTTCGTGAGGCCGCCCTTCAAACCTGTGACGCGAACCCACGGGACCTTGCTGCATCCGTGGATCCCACAGCCTTGTGGGAGGAGATGAAGGAAACAAAAGGCATTGGGATACCTTTTTTCAGCTGCTCCAATCTTAAAGCAGAAAGCCCGTTAGCATGATCCTTGCAATCTCGAGGTCTGCGGCTTCTCGATGAGAGTAAGTATGCTGTATCCGAAAGCACCCACCTCTGCCGAAACAGCCCCTGCCAGGCTGCAGCTCCCCTGCTATGGATGAGCTTCTTGCGCTGACCGGTCTCAAAAAGGTGAAGATGACAGCCATCAACCTTTACAAGTCAGCCCTTCAGTTCCAGCGCATGCCCGCAGATGTCCGGAAGAAGAACCCGCTCAACTTGCTGCTCGGCACGACAGTAGGCTTGTTGAGTTGCTGATTTGATACGGGCCTTTCACGCAAGGAATTACTGTTTCCTGGGCAACCCGGGTACGGGCAAGACGACAGTTGCGCGATTGTTTGCCTCGGTTCTGCATGACTCGGGTTTGCGGAGCAAGAGCACCTTCAAAGAGTGCACTGCGCAGAAGCTCAAGGACGATGGTGTGGACGAGTTTCGAAAGCTAGCTCAAGAAGCTTTGGATGGGGTCATCTTCATCGATGAAGCTTATGACCTGGATCCAGCTGGGGATAAGTTCAAGGGTGCCCCTGTAGTCAACGAGCTTATTACTCTCACGGAAAACGAGCGCGCGAGACTCACCTGCATCCTTGCCGGCTATGAGGACGCATGCCAAAGCATTTGCTTTGGCTGTCTTGTTTAGGTTTAAGCGCTTGAGCAGGATGACATGAACGCCAAGATTTATGCCTACAACACTGGCCTGAAGAGCCGCTTCAACGAAGTCATTTTCGAGGACTTTGACGCCAAAGAGCTGGCTCAGACCTTTGCAGAACGTTCAGCTATGTAACACCAACAGCCTCGTGTAGACACATATTGGGTAAGTGCATGAAACGGAGTGAGTTCCACAGCTAAGTAATATGAACACAACACTAAACCAGCGGTTCAATGGTTATCGACGCACAAGATTAAATCTCGAGTCAATCTTTTTTGACTCTAGAATTCATTCCCTTCCGTAACTGCATCTTTACTGGACGATCAGTACCTGCAAAGGGTTGATGGAAACTTCTCCAGAGCACAATGAGAAGCTCTTAGAGCCTCTGCTTCAAGCTAAGGATTTGGACGCATATGCGTTCTCAACGTGGCTGGAGCGAGGAGGATCCCCGTTTGACCGATGTGGTTGTTCGCAGGCACTGCTTCGTTCGAATGCCTTCATCACATGCTTGAGACAAAGTGTTGTTGCAGCTTTTAGCGTATTGTGCAGAATGATGAAGAGTTGCGGAAAGAAGGGCTTTGGCAACGCCAGAGAAGTCACTTGCCCTGCAGTGGGCGGACAAATACCTCGAACAGCTTAGTGGTAGCTTAGTCTTGAGAGGAGTGTTTCCAAGCTAGGGCTAGATCACAGAGAGAGCTGTTGTCTGGCTTAATGCCACAGAAATCCCAAAGTCGCACGTCCACGTGCTGAGAGTCCCGAGAGCCTCGCGGAGCTAAGCTTGAAGAATGGCTTAAGGTTAGAAAGTGCCTGGAAGCGGCAGCCGAAAGGGCGATGGGCCGAGCAGACTTTGATCCCGAAGCCATGTGTCTTGAATCAAGCTTGGCCATGGTTGCTGCGGGCAACATGCACCCAGCTGCGCGAAGAGAGTGCTACTTAGGTTACTACAGTTCGTGGACGTGGTGGGTGAGGACAGGCCTGCCAGATGTGTCGTCCAACTGCTGCACAGATTTGAGGTTTACTGAGCTGTGGAAAAGGGGGCTCCTGCCTTGCCGTCTAACACTGAAGTGTGCGTAACATGGCAAAAGTGGAGGCCTGCATCCGTTTTGGCCAGAGCTGAATGGGCTTCTGCCGACTAATTTTGCGTCAGATACAAGCAGGTCAGCAAAGTCTTATGTGCCGTTCGGGCAGGGGCTAGCTAAACCTCAGCAGCGACGCATGCTTGAGGGCTTGAACCTATGCGCCACAGGATCCAAGATCCAACCCAAAGCTTCAGCGAGTTCGTGATGACATCGAGCGCAAGACGGGCTGGAAGAAGATCAAGAAGACCATTGATGTCTTGATTATGGTGTGTGGCACCAATTATCAAAGGGAGCTAGATGGCGAAAAACCATTGCCTGTCTTCCTCAACCGCATGTTTTTGGGCAATCCAGGCACAGGAAAAACCACATGTGCGCAGCTTTATGGGGAGCTCTTGAAGAACTTGGGCTTCTTGAGTTCTGGGGATGTGGTGTTCAAAACGGCTGGAGATCTCGGAGGTTCCGTGGTGGGCGAAGCTCAGCAAAAAGTTCTTGGTGTGCTGCAGTCCGCTGCGGGCAAGGTCTTGGTAATTGACGAGGCCTACAATCTCAATGACAGCATGTACGGCAAGCAGGCAAGCAAGGGCATTCTGCGGGACCTTAATTGCATGGCTAGCTGAATGCAGTGCCTGGTTGTGTGCGTGTTGCTGTGATGCAGGTGTTGGATGTTCTTGTGGAGAAAGTTCAGGGAGGAGAGAACGATGACATTGCAGTGCTGCTTCTGGGGTATGAGGACTGGCTGGCCGATTTGCCCATGGCAGAAACAGTCATTTGTGAGACTCAGTTTATTCCTGACCGTCTGCCATGGTGCCAGAAGCATCCAGAAGCAGTCTTTGCAGGATCAGATGCTATCCATGCTCCGGGAGCAGAACCCTGGACTTGCCCGCAGGTTTCCTCCAGAACAAGCCTTCTACTTTGAGGACTACAGCGATCAGGACTGTCATTGTGGTGCATCTCTGTATGCCTTGTGCAGTTCCTGGCCGCAGCCGGCTCAGGAGCTCATGCAGATCTTGCGCGTGCACTGCCAGAGCGAAGGTGTCAAGCCGACCATGGAGTTTCAGGAGAAGGTAGACTGTGTCCTGGACATGCAAAGCCAAGCTTCACAAGCCAATCCGAGTAAGATCGGACAACACACAGAAGCAAGATCACACGTTGATTCATCGATCCTTGGTGCCTTTTTGTGCGCCAGGCAAGGAAAAAGTTGGACATGCTGCGCCGAAGTGAGTCGCACTTTGGCAACGCTGGTGCCGTAATGAACCTGGTGAAGGCAGCCACACTTGAAGCATCATCTCGCGCACAAGGCCGGACAGGTGTCGTCTCTTTTGCACAACGTTTCGCAGAAGACCGTCGGCAACAAACTCGCAATTCTATCAATCTAAGCAAGGGTTGGGACACTGCATGTGAGCTGCAGGAGAAGGCCAGATACGGTTGGAGCCATCGGACATTGACATCGGACCAGAAGATGATGTTCAACAGGCTGGCTACTTTTTCAGCCCTTCGAATCTGTCAAAAAGCTGCATGACCAGATATGACCAGCCTTTGTATGCGAAGGACCCCTTTGCCCCACTTGACAAGCTCTACCGGATGGATGGAATAAGGCCATCTGCTGCATCTCTTCCATCATTTGCTGATGGAGAATCAATGCACTAATACTAAGATGTGGGTGGGGAAGGAAGAAGCTGGAACAGCTGAGCAACGCCTTCGCTGTGGCTCAGGAGGACAATCGTTGTTGACGCGCCGCTTTCATTGGTGTGAATCGAGCCATGGCTCTTACCATGCAGGAGGGAGATGAAGCCCCGGAGCTTGGCCACTTCGTCTTTACTGGCGCCCCCGGTACCGGCAAAACGACAGTGGCTCGAGTGATGGCGCAGATTCTCTTTCATCTGCGGCTCCTGGCAAAGGATCGTGTACAAGGCTGAACGTGCTACCTGCTGCTTGAAATGTGGTGTGGCGTACTTGCTTCTATGCGTTGCTAGAATGTCAACCGCCCTGTCAGAAACCTCCGGCCTGAACTTGACTGGAGAGTACGTCGGGCAGACGAAAAAGAAAGTGGAGGAACAGCTGGAGGCAATTCCCCAAGTTCAACGTCTTGCAAGCATGGTAGTTGACAGAGCTCCTGCAGATTGCACCAAGCATCCGGGGTGATTCTGCATACGTTCATGCGAGCTTCCAACAGGCGGCGAAAGGAGGTGTCCTTTTCATCGACGAGGCGTACGAGCTCGGGAAAGGCCCTTTTGGCCAGGAAGCTTGTACTGCCATTGTGGCAGCAATGACAGATCCAAAATATGCAGGTGGCTTGGCCCGCATGCCCTTGTGGAAGTATGGCTGAAATTAGAGGTTTTTTTTCTCTCCGAACCCTTAGTTGACTTGGCTGCCGACACTGTCCAGACCAAGCGTTTCTGGAGTGTGTCTAAGGTGTGGTGATCATCATTGCTGGATACCCCGGTGACATCAACAAAATGCTTGACAGCAATCCTGGCCTTAAGAGCCGCTTTACTCATTTCTTTGAGTTCCCAGATTGGACAGCTGGGGATTGTGTGGATTTGATCCAAAAGCGCGCTGCTTGGATGAAGTTTCAGCCGATATTGACCAGCGAAATTGCCGACAGAAGTTGTTTGCTTCTGGCAGCGATGCTCAGGCTGCGCAGGGCAGCTATGGCCTGACCGCAGCTGCTGCCACAGTGCTGGAGGAATGGAAGCCTTATGTGCATATGTCCCCACATCAAAACTTTTGGCAGAGTTCTCCTAGCAGCGATCGCTTGAAGGGTTCCGGAGAGGGACATGCCCCCTAAAATCATCTTGTTTGGCTCCGATTTGGAGGCCAGCAGAGTATCGAGTAAAGTGACCTGTGCTTCATTTCAGATCATAAGGCCTCATCGATTCCAATGACAGCCGCTGTTGCGGCAAGCGTGACTGCTTCTGTGAGACAATTCAAATGCAGGTTTTGAGACATGGTATGGAAATCTATGCGCAACCACATTGTACATGCTGCAACAATTCCCTCCCTTCTTCTGCACTCCTGCCCGATGCTGGAAGTGGCTCGGGTAGTCATCCTTTACCTGCAAGTTCCTGCTTGGGGGCCAAGAGTGTGCAGCGGCTATCATGCAGCCAGGAGGGCTTCCAGCATCTGCGCAAGCTGGATGGCTGGGGCAATGCGAGGGATGTGGACAAGGTGTGGAAGGCCTCGCTCCAGCAGCGAGCAGATCGTGTGGTGGAGAAGTCGGAAGGTGGGTGGTCCCTGAGTAATCGAGCGTAGCTGCTGTACGTTGTCCAGGATTCTGCCAAAGCAGGGCGTCCGTCATTAGTTGCCCTGGTCAGGCGCCGAAAAGACACTACAAGCTAGCGACGTGCAACCTGCAATTGGGAACCTTCTGGCGGCTAGACGCCCCAAAGCAGCGCCCAGCATGCCGATGTTTTCTTGGGATGATCTGTCATGTCAGATGCCTGATTCTCGAACCAAGGAGAGACTTTGGCTGCAGTCAGGCTTTCTTTGAGAGATGTTGCGGGAGAATGGAATTTCCAGGTTCAGATTCTGTCGTGCCTGCCTTCGCTGAGGCAGCCAACAGAAAGTCTGAAGTTAGGCGAGGCAGAGGCGACGCCGGCTCCTGCTGAAGCAGCACCTGATCCCATGGATATGGAGCAGAGGGATCCAGGAGTAAGCGATGAAGACTGGCAGGAGCAGAAGTGCCCTGCAAGGGTGTATCAAGCCCATCTGCCCATCCGTTAGCTTGTCAAGGAGCTCCAGCAAGCCAAGGAAGCCTTTGCCCAAGAGGAGGCGCGTGTGGCCCGGGAGCTTCAGGAGCTGGAGGCTCCGCAAGGGCCAGCTCTGGATATCACATGCGCACCATGCTGCACAAAACAGCCGCACTTGGTATTTCTCAATTCAGATGTGCGCTCGGTCTCGCAAAAGGGCACTTCGAAACTAGAATCCTGCAGCCAGGAGCGGTTGAAAGAGGAAGCCGCGCGACGCGAGCAGGAGAGATGCATTCCACGTTCCACGGGCACTTCATTTGCTTCGTACACTAGAGACGGCAGTTGCGCGAACATGAAGTCCCTGCTCGACTTTCTGCGTTTGTTGTTGTGCCTAAGTCTCCAGACCGCCTGGAAGCCAGGAATGACCCTTCCAGGCCTGTGAGCGTAGTTTGCATTTCAGCCTCGTAGTCATCATTGGGGAACCCCAATACTCAAGTCCCCCAGACATGCAAGATGTTAAAGAAGTCTTCCGCGGGCTTGCACCTTTGAGAAGGATGTCACGATGTGCTTAAACTTCTCGGATGCGCGCATCATGGAGGTGCTAACACTTGACTTTCAATTTCGAATGTCTTGAACGAAGAACAAGTCCATTTGATACCTGTATGCCGAAAGTGGTGCAATGAAGTTGTTCAGGCCTGCAGGTTTTCTTCCACCTCTGCCGTAGCTTTTCTGCGCAAGGGTCATTGCCTGCTTCTAGATCCTGCCCGTGTACCTCATGTCATGTGGGCCCCTGTTTTGCCGACTACCCACATGAACTCCCCAGAACAGTGACTTCTGAACTCAAGCTGAGCTATGAACCGGGCATATGCTGACCCCACCACAACGAAGGAGTATCATGCATTGTCATCAAGTAGAAGCCGCAATTCCAGAAAACTCCAAAGGAGCTTCGACAACAGCTCGAAGAGGAGCTACTGCGCCTGGCAGAACTCGCAGAGCAGGAGTGCTTGGCCCTAAATGGAGATTTGGAAAGATTATGCCTGTCGATGATGGGCTACAGCCCTGAACCCAAACATGAACTTATCCCTCTAGTCGGCCCCATTTTGTTGCACATGTTTTCTGTCTCTGTCGGCACCTTCCAAAACCCTAAACCATGCGCTGAGCCCTTTTGAAGCTGAAAATCAAGCGGCTTGCTAGGAGCGTCTCGAAGCTGAAAAACAACGAGCTCAGGCAGTGATGTCTCTGAAATCCAGCTAGTATGGAGAGTTTACGTTGGAGAGTGTAGGCCCAGCGAATACTGGCAACCGTAATGACTGGCAGTGAGGTGGCCGCCTTCAGCCGCCTTCAGTTGAATAGGTTTGTCGCAGTGGCATGAAGATTGCAAATGGTACTCTTGCGACTCTTGCAGCTACTGCCGCCTCATCCTTTTGTTGTTTTAGCTACTTCTGCTGGTGCCGCGAGTGTTTGTTCTACAGTGCCTTCAACATGCTGGCTTCAACCCGCGGTTTTTTCCTGACATTTTCCAATCTCTAGTGTTCTTGTGACAGTGTCGTGACTGCAATGGTTTGCATCCTCCACACTTGAGGTCTTGTTGGTTCTCCCCACCGCACATCTGATCGAATCACCCGCATGTTAAGCAGCATATGTTGTAGCACCGCCTCCTTCTGGTTGTCTCGTCTCGCACATGTCTTATATGCTTCTGACATATCCTCAGCAACCTTCAGCTTCAAGGCAAAAGTCCCAGGTTCTGTTATCTGTGAGACAGGCAGAACTTGCGGCTCGGCTTGAGCGAGAGCGCCTTGAGAGGGAGCGCCGCCGTGCGGAGGAGTTGTGGCGGCTTTCACTTCCTCCGGTGAAATCCTCACTTGCTTGAAGGGCTGGAGCGTTACCTTGAGCATTTCCCCGGAATTACCCGGCATGAACACATGTCCGAGTTAGGTAGCCGTATAGCTTGCTGGGACAAAAGCTTGGTGGCACATTGTTTGCGATCTGTCGTCCAGTGGTTGAAGCCTTCCTGCTTGCCAATGCATTTTTGATTTTTCTGTTCGGCAAAGCCTTGTGTTTACTAGATTTTGGCTTGGAGTTGCTGAGTCCTTGTTTACTAGAACTTGAGTTTATTGGAGATGGGGTGCTTGAAGGGGGATGTAGCTTGCAATCCGAGTGAATTCTCTTTTGTGAGGAGCAAGCACGCATCCGGGCCGAGCAAGAAAAGGCGGCCGAAATCCGGGCGAAGTTAAAGCAAATCAGCCGCTGTCCCGCTGGCTTCGACTGGATTCTTGGCTCATGTGCTGCCCTCCAGTGCGCAACAGAATAGATCTACGTGTTGTCGCCTTGATTTGGTGAAAAGGTACAAGAGTGGTGGAGGTTGGCGGTGTGGAGGTGGCAGTCACTTCGTCTCAGATGCACAGCTGCTTGGACGCATCCAGGGAAAGCAGATGTGAATGACTATGACGACTACGTGGACTACGTGTCTGTTGCGGATGTTATCTGGATGTGGCTGCATGCATGTCCATTCTACAGTCTACAGTGCCTGCCCAAAGGCTCAATGCGCACTTCTCCCATTGACGGTGGATGAGATGACGATTCATTTGACATTGCTGGAATCATCATAGGTGCAAGAGGCGTCCATGAACAAGCATCGATGCCATCTTGACTCGCATTTTTGTTTCTCCTACTGCACAGCGAATTGTGCAGCTCATGGCCCCTCAACGTCTGTCAACCGTTCAGCACCTCCCTATGAGAGAGGATGGTGCATGGTTGGAGGTGCCCTTTTCCCAATGAGCTGGAAAGTTTTGATTTTGAGTTTGCAGCATTGCAGCCACAATAACTGCCCCGAAATGTGTGCATATGATGTGACATGTTTCTTCTGCAGATGAAGCATTGCTGCTGTGATGCCGGGTTCAACATTGCTTACCGGTGATGAGGCAAAGTCTCCGGTTGTGGCTGTGGAGTATTAGCGACGTGAGGACTGCCAATCCAGAGGTTGCCCTGATTGGGCGTTTGTTGGACCTCATGGGGAGTGCAGGAGATTCTAGCCCTTGGCATCGACATGTGAAAGATAAGTCATCCTCTGGAAGTCCGCATACGTCCCGGAAAAGTCGGGGCCAAGAGTGTCCCTTTTACAATCTTAGTCAGCTTCGTTGTTCATTGATGTCACCTCTAGCTTCTAAAGTGCCGCAGAGAACAAAAAGAGTGTGATCACGTGTTTCATGAGTCAGTCCTCTTTGAAGCTTCTTGCAGCCAACATTAGACTTGCTGTTTCAAGATTGGCTGGTGTTGATGCAGTGACGATTCTGCAAGGTTTTGCAAGCACCACACTGTCGCTGCGATAGACCCGCCTGAGTAAGGCATATTTTGTTGCTGAGCGTCCGTGTTGGGGCGTTAAGGATTTTCGGAACGGCATGCTTTGTTTCCTGCCATGTTTGGTCAGTCCTGGTCTTTTAGAGACACAGTTGCGTTTGGCTCTGCAGTGCCATGTCTGGGAGGCAGCGAGTTCGGGGCCATGCGCAGTAAAATCATAGCGCTGGCGCTTCCATTTGAAGAATATGGCTAACGACTTGAAGTACACACGAACTCATCTGGCCCAAGCTTTCAGCTGTGTTAGAGTAGTTAGCTCTGCTCGCAGCAGCCGTTCCACTTGCGAAATATGACCTTCTTGAACGTAGTCTTGATGACTGCATTTCTTGCGAGAGCACATCTTGTCATGGGCGTTCGACCAGAAGAGTACGGAAGACTCGTTGCCGAAGAGGTGAAGACGGAGACCAAGGGCAAGCACTGCTGCTACGATACCTCTGCCGGCCGCAATGGCTGCTTTAATGATGTCTGCTTCAAGCCGAAGAAGGAGGGCTGGAAGTGTCCAA